GATGAGGAGATGGAGGAGGAGGAGGAGGAGGAGGAGGAGGAAGAGGAAGGGGAGGAGGAGGAGGAGGAGGAGGAGGAAGAGGAGGAGGAGAGGCACCGGGAGGAGGACGAGGCGGGGGGGGAGGTCCACCTAAAAGCAGCGCCCCGTGGGTTGAAGGCGGTGCGGGACGCTGCAGCCCCAGGCCGCGCACGACGGCCTGTCAGGGGCCTGCGGCTCAGGGCCGCGAAACTGAAAACTAAAAGGTAAAAGCGCGAAGCGTGCTCCAGTCCCCACCGCCCTCTACATCTCTCCTTCACCAACCCTGGGATGGCCCCAGAATAACGGGGGTGGTCAAGAGTCTGGCCCTAGAGCGGGGGTGGCTAGTCCGAGTCGGAGCTGTCGCTGGAACTGCTGCCAGAGTCCGATGCAGCAGCGTCGGCGGCCTCATCCACCGCCTCCTCAGCAGCCTTCGCGGTCGGCTTCTGCACCTTCCGCTTGGTCTTCGCCTTGGTCTTCGCCGTGGGCTTCTTCAGCTCAGCGCCCTCGAAGCCCGGCGGCGGGGCCTGCTGCGGGTCGGCGGGCCCCTCGAGGACCCCCCCCATTCCCCCGCGCGCATCTCATCGCCAGATCTCCGAGGGAGAGGGGGGGCTCTGATAACGAGGGGGGCTCCCCAAAGGATGAAGGGAGCAGGGGCGCGAGGAGAGATGGGGGGGGCGCCGAGGAGGAGGGGGTAGGGGGTTGGGGAGGGGCAGGAAGAGAAGGAGAGAGGGATGGGGTTGTAGCAGAAGCTGTGGCCTCGTCCACGGCGGCGGAGCGCCTGGCCCTGCGAGCGCGCGGCTTGCCGGAGGACGCCTGGGCACGACGACGGTCGGCGCCGTCGCCAACGATAGTTCGGGGAGGGCCCCTCGCCCTCGAGAGGAGGGGGGAGGCGGGGGAGGCGGAAGGGGGGGGAGGAGGGGGGGGATGAGGAGGAGGAGGAGGAGGAGGGAGGAGGAGGAGGAGAAGGAACTTGGGGATGCAACCTCAACCGCTCGCTTTCCCCCCTCAGGAGGGCCCCCCCCCCCCCATCTGGAGGGCCCTCCTCGAACTCCAAAGGAGGATGCGGAGGGGGGTGGAGGAGGAGGAGGAGGAGGAGGAGGAGGAGGAGGGGGAAGAGGGGGAGGAGGAGGAGCCTCCGCGGCTGCGGCAACGGGCTCCGGCGCAGCGGCAGCAGCTGCCTCGGCCGCGTTGGGCGCCGGCTCCAGCGCAGCGGCGGCCGGCGCAGCAGGCGCCTCCGCCGGCGGCGCGTCGCCTGCCCCGGCCGCCGGCGTCTTCTGCAGGGCGGCCGAGGCGCCGCCAAAAGCCACCAAGGCAGCAAGCACGTCGGCACCAGGGTCAACCTTCTTCTCGCGAAGGAGGTCCAGCAGCTTCTGGGCGGCAGCGGGCTGCTTGTCCTTCGTGAGCCTGCGAATGTCCACGCGCACGCCGAACAGGACGCTCGTCATGGCGACCGTGTGGATGGCCCATGTAGCGGTCTGGGTCGCGACGCGCAAGGACTCCTCGGGCACGATAGCACCCAATGACGACAGCCGCCCGTTGAGCTGCCGCAGCATTTTGGCCATATCGGCCAGTTGGGCCGCTCTGCTGCCCATCGTCTTGATCGAGGGGTTCTTGCACATCGGTAAAATCAAGCGGCTGTTAGTGGCAAGACTGCCGCGCTGATCGCGCCAATCCTCGCCGATCTCCTGCGTCAGCCCTGTGGTCTCCGAGTTCAGGACGGCCAGAAATCGGCGGCCCGAGTCGAAGATAACGGCCGTGCAGTCCTCGACGACGGACTCGGCGGCCTCTGGCATCTTGAAGGCTTCGATCTTGAAGGGCGTGGCGACCCGGCCAGGAGCCTGCACAAACAAATCCTTCGCGTGGCCGTCGTCGATGAATTGTTTGAGGGAACCCAGTTCGGAGTGAAGACGTGCCAGCACATTAAAGCTGCCCTGGTCCACATTCCCCGCATTGACGTAAGTGATGGCCAACGCTGCGGCGCGACGCAGGCTTGACCAGGCACAGAGGTAGGAGATCTCACTCTTCAAGGTGGCATCTTTTACTTCGTCCGAGAAGGCAACCATCGTTGCAATGTGTTCATCGCTGGCAATCCGAAACCCAGACACCTGCGCCAGATCGGTCGCACTCATGCCCATGCCCACCTTGACGTCGACAACCGCAGACGACATGGACTCGATTGCCGCCTTGAACTTCGTCTCCACCTCTTGGCAGAACGTCCGCATCGGCTGTCAGCCGCGCGAGCGAGCAATCGGGGCCACGAAATGTCACCCTTAGCAGTTCCGCAGTCCCTCATCCTGTCCCTCCTCCTCCTCCTCTCTCCCACCCCCCCCCCCTTGCTCCCAGCCAGCCCTCCCCCCTATCGCCCCCCAAAGAAACCATCTCGTGGCATCGAATGTTGCCCGTGACTAGTGACACCGACACAGAGGTTCGATTGGCCAACCTTGTCAGATATCGCGGACATCACCGCGCCCCCGACGACGGAATCGTTGAAGATCGGCGACGCCGATATGAAGTCGTCGATGTCCATGGCGATGCTTGTCACCTCGGACTTGACCTCCATTGCCAACGCCCGAATCGATTCGATCTTCCCGCGAAGGGCGACCGCAGAGTCAGCAGCGATGCTATCCGAACTCAGGACGTCGAACGCGCCCAGCACATCCCTGCAGAAGGCGACGCACTTGTCGAAGAGCTCGAACTTGTCGCAGCCCGGGTCGAACTTGACGAACCACGTCTTGACATGTTCGCAAGATGCATATGCATCCCACACACCGCGGAGATGCTGCCACGCATCGTGCGCCCATGCCTGGGAGGAAAACGCGTCAGGTCAGTTCGTTTGGCCAACCTCCCCATCCTCCGACCGCTCGTGAGAGAAGATGTCCCCCGCCTTATCCTCCTCCTCTTCCTCATCCTCCACCTCATTATCCTCCTCCTCCTCCTCCGACGTGGTGGAGGGGGGGGGGGGGGCGAGGCCAAACGAAGTGGATCTGTACTGTGTCCCTCCATCCAATGCCTCGGTCTTCTCAGGTTCCGCTCTGTTGTCCAACATGGCATGGCGAGCGGCCGGGGCCCATGCGGCCTTCGTCGCGAGCACCAACTGCTCGTAGAGCGCGTTGGACCGCTGTCGGCACGTCGCCTCGAAGAGTTCGGCTGCGCGCGGGCATGATCCCACGTCAAGGAAGATCTCAGACATGGTGGTCGCGAAACCGCGCAGGGCCGCGAAGTCGCCGCCGCTGATCGCGAGCAGGCTGCTCTCGAAGGTGTTGGTCAGCGTGTCGCAGTGTTTGGTGTAGCGCGTCATCTTTCGAAGGGTCAGCGAAGCGCTGTTGAAAAGCACCTTGCCTCGATTACATGAGATGATGATCGCCGCCATGGAAGTCGGCATGCCGATCGAGTCGACGGCCTCCTTCAAGTGGTCAAGCCCAGTGACCTCCAAAGCAGGGGTGAGCAGCACGGTCCGAGAATACGGGCCCTGCTTGACGCAGATGATCTCGATGTACGCCCGCACTGCTTCGCCGTGACAACGGAGCTCGTCGTGGCGGGCAACGGCTGCAACTGCAACAAGGTCGCTGACTAGGTCCGGAAGTCGGGTCTGCCAGTCGAACTTCTCGGGCTGCGAGGGGCAGAATGCCTGCAGCGTCGTCTCAATGTCGGGCTGCTTGGCAATCGAAAGGAGACGCTCGGTGACGAAGGCGCGCTGCTTCTCGACGGCCTCCGAGGTCTGGTAACGCCCCGTCTTCGTGATCGAGTCGACCGCCACGAGCGACCGGAAGGTATCTGCATCAGCTGTCGACGACACGCGCTGGTTGAATCGACTCTGCCGCAGGTGGTCTGGCATGAAGCTCTCAATATCGCAAGTGGGCACCAACGCAAGAAACGCGATCTGGCTGTCGTACACCTCAGAGAACTTCGCACTTTCGACGCCAGTGAGGTTCATCTGCCCGCAGAAAGCTCGCAAAGAGGATACCTTCTTGACCCACATCTGCAAGGGTGAGAGCTCAGACGCCTGGTCATCCGAGGCGGGCTCTGACTTGAGCGAAGCGATCCGCGCCTCGATGTCGTCATACACGCGCTTGCAGTACCGGGTGTGGTGCTTCCAGCTCTTGCCGAAAAACAGTTCGTCGGTTGCCCCTGCCTCGAAGAAGTCTTTGCACAGCGACTCTGCAGTCGAGCATATGTTCCGCCGCTTTGGCCCAGTCCTGCCTCCAGGTGGGTTTGCAGGCGGCGCATCCGGCGTCTGCTGCGTGTTCTTCCCGCGGCCTGCTGTCTGTCTGCGACCAGGTTGAGTCTTCGTGCCGGCCCTTGCAGCGACCTGCGAGGGCCCAGGGTCTGAGCGTGCGAAGCCAATGGACAGCCCTCCAAAGTTGCCGCGCGAATCAGAAGCCGCCACCGTGGGGTCGACGGCCGGCATGCACACAGGACGGTCGGTCGAACTTGAAGCAGGAACGGAAGAAACGCCCGGGCGCTGGCATTCGCCCGTGGCACGAGGGAGCTCGATCATTTGCATCAACTCCTGAAGCATCTCATCGCCCTGGCCGTCGTACATCTCCGCGTCGGCGTCGCCATTGTGGACTTCCCTCCTGTCCTCCACGATCTGGCCAGTCTTCCGTCTGACCCGACGGATCGGCGCGGAGGGCACCTTGAGCGACAAGGAGGTCGGCGACGACACGAGGGCCCCAATAGGGGCCGCGTGGGAACGCAAGAGGGGGCCTCCAGAGGTCTCAACGGAGCCATGCACGGACAGGTGAGCAGGGGCCAGAAGTGGGAGGGCGGGATGGAGGGAGGGGGGAGGGAAGGATAAGTGGATTGAGGGAGGGGCTGGAGGGGAGAGGGGGGCACTGAGGGGAGGGGAGTGAGCGAGGAGCAAGGGAGGAGAGGGAGAAGAATCAGCTTATACTGCTTTCATGAGCCTCTGAAATGACATAAGGCAGACGTGAACGTCCTGCTGCTCCTCCTCCGTCTCCTGTCCCCTCATGCGCCTCTCCTGCACCTCCTCCCCCATCCTCCCTCGAAATTAGTTTCGGCCCCCCCTCGCGCCTTGACTTCTTTCTTGCCGTGCTCGTAGGTCACAACGCGTCCGAGGCCGTTGGTCGCCGGGTCGCCTTTTTCCGCCACGTAGTGCTCATAGTCCCAGAGAAGATCGTCTGGCTCAATCACTTCGGTGGCCTTGACAGTCACAAGCGAGATGACACGATTGTCAATCTGATCCCAGACCACGCGTGCACCGCGCCCACCTTTCTCGATGAGCCACGCGACGAGCGTCTTGCGGTAGCCCATGAACTTGTCGAATTGGGCTCCGTTTGATCCCAGCACTTGAGGAAGCTTGGCGAAAGAGAAATTCTGGCCTTTGATCTTGTACCTGGCCCTGAAGACTGCGAAGCAGTAGTAGCATCCACGCCCTTCTTGCTTTCCGTCCGGCGTGGCGGGGCGGCGCCAACTCATCGGCTGAGCAACGTCGAACTCCAAGTCGACGGGGTCGTTGTCCGTGTCGCACACGCCACAGATGATGCACGCCCTGCCATCGGGGTCCCCACCCTGGCGCATGTGCTTGCCGACCATCCCGGTGCGCGAGTGGTGGAACGCTGCTCTCGAGGTCCGAGTCCATCCTGTCGAGGTCATCTGCGAGACGCCGCCCCCCCCCGGACATCCTGCCGCGCTTGCCCATGGCAGTAGATATTCCAGGCCGCTGACAGCGCGGAAGCGTAAAGAGCACACTGACGAGGTGCGGAACTCAAAAAGCAACAAAACCTCGCAATCTCAAACGGCTCCGACGCGCGCGGTTGGAGGGGGGGGGCGGGCGGGTTGACAATCGCAGACCATGCTACCGACCGCGCGCCGACCTTGCGCGGTGGACTGTGCAATCGGCAATTGGTGCGCTCAAGCCCCGAGCGGTCCGCGGCGCGCCCCCGACGCGACGCGGGCGAGCTTGCGCGGCGATGGACAACGCAGCAATGCAATGTGACATATGCAATATGCAATATGCAATGCAACGCAAGGCGCAATGTGGCATGCAACTGAGAAAAGAGCTGAGGGGGGCAGGGGGGCTGTAAGATCGGCACTCCGAACTCAGGAACGTAACGCTTTAGATTTGAGTCTGAGTTCAAACAAGTTCCTACATTATATTCTATATTCTTAACGCTAAAATCATTAACGCTCTGACCGTCGGACTGCCGACGCAGAAACAGATGGGGCGAAGGCCCTGTCAGTATTCGAGCGCCCCTCTGATGAGTTACCTGCCCTCCACATCCGCCCATATGGCCAATGGCCTGGCCCCCAACGACCAAGGCCACCAATGGCCGCCCCGAGAAGAGCGCAGCAACAGGAGCACCGCCAGGTCAGAAAACGTTGATACGAACACGCAGTACTCCAGAACCCACTCATCAGGCCCACTGAACATGCGTTGTTTCAAATCTTTTCAGATCGGGGTCAGCGCGAACAGTCCGCGAGGTCGTGCGCCGATCACCTCGCCGGCGGCAGCTGGGCGGCCCCTGGAAGCCGAAACATCACGCCGTCCGAAGCTCCCGCAAGCGCACTGCCAGACCAGCAATGCGCAATGCCCACAGACGACGAAGCCAGGTCTGCATCGTGAATCTACTTCGGCGGCTCCTGGGGCCCTCCGCCCTTGGATCGGGGATGGACAGAACCCCCTGGAATAAAACGTGGTTTAGTGAAAACGACCTGAGGCCCAAACCTGGCGGGCGCAAGCCTGGAAAATAACGGCCACGGCGCCCTCTCGAGAACCGAAAACGGACAATTCACTAATCGACGTGTCACTGTTGGGGGTTCTGCCCACCCACGATTGGAAGCCTCCCCGTCGGGGACCTGGCCAAAGTCCGGAGCATCGAGCTCGCCAGGACCGGAAGCAGACGGCTCGGCGGCGCCAGCGGCGGCCGCGGACGTAGCACCGTCGGCCGCGCCAGTCTCCTCGAGAATTGACTCGTCCGGGTCCGTGATGCCGTGGAAGAGCATGGCCGCCATCACCACTGGAGTGGCCGCGAAGATGCTGAATGCGTTGCCAGCCAGAGACGTCAGCAACGAGTCCGAATAAGGGACTTGGTTATCACGAGTAAACGACAACATATGCAACCCCATGATCTGCATTAGCTCGAAACCTTCGAGGGCTCTTATCTCACGACTGCCCCAGCACCTGGCAGTGGATGACGCTGCAGCGGCCGACGGCGCGATCGCGCGCATGACGATCTTCGAGTGCCCTATCAATGTTGGGACTGCTGCGTGCCAAGGATTCTTGAACGGCTTGTCGGTGTCCCGCTTGGTCACCTTCTGGCCGAGCAAGCGACCCGTGCTGTGGGCTGCGTCGTAGAACTCCACCACGCGCCCATTCACCAGCGGCCCTTCTGGCTCGAAGACCTGGCACAACGCTGACGCAGGAGGAGGGGGGGCGGGATGGGCCTGGGCATTGATGGGGGGGAGGAGGAGGAGGAGGATGAGGAGGGGGAGGGGGAGGGGGAGGAGGAGAGGAGGAGGAGGGAGGAGGAGGAGGAGGAGGAGTGTAAGAGTGAGGAGGGGCGGGGAAGGGGGGGGGGGGGGGTGGGCGGGGGAGGCGGGTGGGGGGAGGGTCGGACGGGGGAGAGGAGGAGAGAGAGGGGTAGAAGGGGGAGAGGAGGGGGCTGAGGGGTAGGAGGAGGAGGAGGAGGAGGAGGAGGAGGATAACAATGACAATGAACAGTGCAACAGTGAACCATGAGGCACTGAGTTGGCCCGAGGCCTTTCTGGTCTAGGCGACCCACGCGGGCCGCTGGGCGATCCCAGGAGGCACCCAAGATCCCCGCCCCCTACACAGCTCCAAGGCAGCCTCCAGGAGTGGAAGGGGGGGGGGAACCCGGGCGCGCCTGATCGAAGAAATACGCCGCCTCCACCATGCGGCGGCTCAGCCCCTGCTTAGAGATGTGGGCGCACGCCTCCTCCGGGATCGGGTGCTGCAAGCGAAACTCCTGGAACAACGTGTAGTGCTCATCCTGCCACGTGGTCTCCTGATCTGGGACGTCGTCACCACGCGCGGAGCAGCCAATGATGCCCACTTGGTCCATGAATACGGCCCGAATCTTCGCATCGCTGATGATGAAGCAATCGTCGACGTGCAGGGGGCCGATCTTCAAAGATCGCAAGAAGCTGATGCCCCTCGCCAGCGCCGATGAGGAAGTACCCTCGCGATGCAGCAGTGCAACCACGTAGAGTCGGCTCCGCGTAGCCAGGGAACCATAATCTGAAGCCTCGACGACGTCCCAGAATACCCAGTAGCCCACGTCCTCCAGCCTGTTCCCGATGAGGTCAACATCGCGATCGCCGCGAACACCATCTGCCAGAGTGGCAACGTTCTCGAGGATCACGAATTGCGGACGCCGCTTCTTGATGTAGCCCATGGTCGCCTGGAGGCGGAGGAGAAGGAGGAGGTTGGAGGAGGCGCGTGAGAGGAGGAGGAGGAGGAGGAGGAGGAGGAGGAGGGGGAGGGGAGGAGGAGGAGGAGGAGGAGGACGGAGGAGGAGGAGGAGAGAAGGTTGGATGAGGAGGAGGAGGGGGATGAGGAGGAGGAGGATGAGGGGGGCGAGCGCTGGGGGCGAAGGAGGGGGAGGGCGGGGATGGGGAGATGGGGGGAAGGAGGAGGAGGAGGAGGAGGAGGAGGAGGGGGCAATTGAGGAGGCCTACATATAAATTGCGGTGGGGAAGGAGGAGGAGGGGAGGAGGGAGGAGGAGGAGAGGAGAGGAGGAGGAAGGAGGAGGAGGAGGGGGGGGGAGTGATCGGATGGGAGCGAGGTGGGAGGGATGGGGGGGCTTTGTCGCCCCGTTCGCCGCCGCTGGGCACGGCGCTGCCCCCCCCCCCCCCCCTCCCCACATCCCCCTCGCCGCCCCCACCCCCCCCCCCCCCCCCCCCCCCCCCCCCCCCCCCCCCCCCTCCCCACATCCCCCTCGCCGCCCCCATTCGCTGCCTGCCCCCTCGATCGGTCGATCGGTCACATGCCGATCGGAGCAGGCATCTGGGCCGAAGAACCTGCGCGCGAACTCGGGCAGGGCGGGATCTGGAACATGTCCATTGGGAAGGGCCTGCCAGGTCGGGGGCGCCGTCACTCCCTCAGCCCCTTTTCACCCCAGTCCGATCAGTGCAAATACATCCGCGGGTAGCTCCCACCTTCCTCTCATTCACCCTTCGCACATGGACGCGCACTCCGCTCTCGCCCTCTCTCCGCCATCGGACATCGCCACGTGTTTTCATACATGTATATATATGTAGATATTATGTATACACACAATAGTGAATATCTGCATCGATTCCCCTCCCTCGACTCGACCGTCTGCCGCGCTGCGCGCGCGTGCGCAGCCACGCTACACATACGCGCACATATGCATGCACGCATGTACGTATGCGAGTATGCACTGTTCCCTCCATTGCTCACTATATATGGTTGTGCATGTGACCCCCTCGTACCTATCTGCCTGAATATGCGCATGCACTCACGCGCCACCACGTGCGTGTGTATATATATATATATATACACTAGCCATATATATATATATGTCCTATGTCCACACACATGTATACACATATGTCCATATATGTATATGCGTGTAGATGTAGATCCCCCCCTCCCCATCCTACCCCCCCCCTCTGCGCCCCTGCGCCCCCGCCCAACTCTGGCGAGAGCATGGCTGGGCGGGGGGGGGCGGGGGGCGGAGAGTCGAGGCGGGGCGGGGGCGGGGGTGGGCCAGCAATGGGGGAAAAGAAAGAAACGCACACCTTGGGGCCCGACTTCCCGACGCAGCCGTCGTCGTCGAACTCCTCGGGGTGGCGGTCGTACATCTTCCAGAGCTCGCCAATCCGGGCGTGGTCCAGGATCGAGTTGGCCCACGGGGCAAGGATCTCGGGGGGCGCGCCGCACGAGGGAGCAGAGGCCCGCCCAATTGCCCATCCCGCCCCACATTCCCCGTCCCCCGTCGGCGCCCCCTTACCCCTCTCATCCCCCAATCCTCATCCCTGGCCCCATCTCTCATCCACTGGATGAGTCATCCAGAAGCCTCTCGCGGTCTCTCCGCTCATCCGGCCACCCAATCACCCCCTCTCAGCATCCCGCCCACAGCGGCTTCATCCGACCTCCCCGTCCCCCCCATGACTCCATGACTTCTGCCCCTGCACCTCCCCGCCCGCCCCCCCCCCTCGACGTCTGTTCCGCACCCCGCCCCCAGGCGCCTCAGTGTTCTTGTAGAGGTTCCCGAACCTGTTCTTGCCCACGCCGACGATGCTGCCTGGAAGGGGGCGGGCGGGGGCGCGGATGGGCGAGCACGAGCGGGCGAGGATGGATGGGCCGCGATTGTCGGAGAGAGAAGTGGGACAGGCGCAACGGAGATGAGAGGGATAAGATAAAGCAGGGAAGAGGAGGAGGAGGAGGAGGAGGAGGAGGAGGAGGAGGATGTCCGAGGAGGGAGCGATGGGGAGGAGGGAGGGCGGGCGAGGAGAAGGGGAAAAGGAAGGATGAGCGCAGGTATGAGACAGAAGTGACAGAAGTGGAGGAGGAAGCGGAGGACCACGCAGTGGACCAAGCAGCATG